CAGTTATAAAGAAGTAATTCAGTTATGACAAAACCATTCTGGATCATTTGATGGTTATAATAATATCTGCCTTCACCCAGACAACTTTCTCCTCCACTACCAGCTTACAGACTACATTCTACTGATGCTTTTTAATTAAGAGTCAAGCTGTCAATCTATATATTTTTATGTCTAAAAATGCAAACATGAAATTTTAACTACTGATCTTTTTGCACGACAGAGAAATGCGGCTTGGATGGCACAGGATTATATTTATTCACCCAATTCCATCAAGAAACCTAGCAACTTCCTTCAGACCCACCTTCTGTTTGCTCCCATTGATCTGAGATTCCTGGGAAGCATGATTCTGGCAACAAAAATGGCATGTCTAAGACCTGTTTTCTGCAGTGCCAGCCACGGAAATACAGAAAGTAAGATGCAGGCATTTCGGGAATTAAAATTTGAATGAGTTCATCTGTAGCAGGGAAAGTGATATTTTTCCTTTCATTGCTGGAAGTATTATTAAAGAGAGAACTAATGTTGGTCAAATGGTTTTTAAGGCTCTGCTGTTTTCTCTCTCTGCATGTCAGCTTATATGCATTCCTCAGCAGCAAAAAAACAGGCTCAACAGCAAAATCGAATATAAGAGCTAAGGGGACGTGGCGGAGGAAAAAACAATAACACAAAAGCTTTGCAGCTATCCCTACTACCAACAAAGTCTTCATTAGCACATCATAGATATTCTTCATATTTGTGCAAGGTTGTATGATCTCATATTCTTACTCACAAACATGAGGGTGCTGAAATAAGCTTTATTTCAGATAAAACTAGCAATATTTGATCTCAAGCAACAGGAGGTTCTCTGAAGTCCCTAGCAACTGCAGCAACTTTGCAGCAGGAGCAGCAAGAACTTTAAGGCAAGGTTTCAGAGTAGTCATGGTCAAATCAGATCTCAGAGTACTTGTTGCCTTTATTTTTTGCAAATATATATGTATGTGTCTTTCAGGGTCACTGCTATATGTTAGACAAACCACCTAGGCAGTCTAATCCAGCAGTGTGTTTTTATTCTTTTGCTGATAGTAAGCTAAAAGGTTTACAAACCATCAGTACAATTCCAGAATGCCAGCTGTTCATAAACCTGGTTTATGGATAACTCATTTTGCATCTCCAGGGGGCTGTGATTCCATTTTTTTTTATGAACCTGACATACAGAATACAGAAGAGGCTTGTTCCCATATATATACACACAGAGAACTTTCTTTTCTATTCATTCCTCCCCCTTCCAACCGAAATGATGACGTTCTCTCTTTTTCATTCCATTTCATTTTTCATTTCCCCACTCTTAGAAAACATAATTAGATTACACTCTAATTATCCAAACCTGGCTAACTCAGGATGTTGCCGTCTGCTGGGGTAAGTAATGAATTTTCCAAAGGGCCACCTGAAATTATTCTCAAACACCAGCAACGTATCAACGGTGGTGCACGAGATCAGTTGCTGAGTTCCCCATGGAAACCTGCCCTGCAGTTATACTTTCGGAAGAAACATATTCCTCTCCTCCACCATTTATCTGCCGTGACGTTAATGGAGATACACCAACACAGGCCATATTGCTGCAAAATGCAGGCAATGGGAACAAGTGATTAAATCATTGAGGATCAGGCTTCCTGGGATCTAGTCTCAAATGCTGTTATTTCACTGTGTAAGCTACGCGTGCTTCAACGTCTTTTCACAGAACTGCAGCTTTAGTATCACCTGCTTGCTTCCCTGGAGCAAGAGGTTGCTTAACTACACGGCCACATGGCAACTGACACTTTTGGCAGACGAGCGGCAAGTGGAAATGCGTTATTATGTTGGTGGAACGGTAATTGCAAGCAGTTAAAACCGCCAAGTATGTACTGACAAGATCGCTTCTGTTTAGCAAACAGGTAAACTCATTCATCAGAGGTCTAGCAGACCCACGTTACAATTTGGCACAAGCTTCAGAGGCAAGCTGAAATGATTAACGAGCCATCAGCCGCGCGCCTCAGACCGAGCAGGTACTGGGCAAGGGGCTCTCCCTCTCCTACCTCCCAGCGGCTCGCGGGGGGCTGTGGCAGCAGCCCACTGCTTTATCGACTCCCTGTCATTATTAATTCCTTACAGATCTGCCCTCCTGCTCCTTAACGTGCACTAGGCAGATGCAGCATTTTGGTCCCCCCTACTTCTCACGGTGCTGCCGCCCGGCTGCTGCCCCTCTGGATTAACTCACACGGCCCGCGGTGCGGGGAGCGCTGATTGACCAAGGCAGCCTGTGCCTGGCGGTGCCACCCCAGGGCAATGTCAGGGGGCTTCTTCCTCTTGCACCTGAGCTGCTGATGGTCTCCTCAGCAATGGAAACCCGTGGAGAGAGTGGTCCTTCAGCTTCCCTGTCGTTCTTGTGTGTGCATGTCAGTCCGGTGGCCAAAAATATCCCAAAGGGATGTTGATGATACAGGGTATTACAGCCACTACTTCCTTCCTTCCAATCACAGTCTAATTAGTCTTCAATCTCCAGTCTTCAATCAGAGCAGCAACTAAAAAGCTCAAATCTGTGATTCTCTGCGAACAGTCTGGGTGTAAAATTGTTTTTTGTCTGCAGTATCAGCCAAGGGTCTTGCACGTTGCCTAACCCACATCCATCACCTCCTCCTTTGCTTCATAGCCAGCATGTATAGGCACCTAATGCACGTTTTAAGGCCTAGGTACGAAACCCAGACATTTCAGAAGGCCAATGCCTGGGGGAAATGTCTGGCATGCATTTCTCAACAGTAACCTGTGGGGCACTTTCTACCTGCTACTTATTACTTGCTATATGGGCTCCAGCAGCCTGTGACCGGGATGCAAAGAAAGGGTAAAAATGGGGAAAGCACAGCCCAGAGATGAGGTGGTGGGACCAGGTAACACTGGTTTCCAGTGCCAGAGCCAGAGGCTTGCTCTACGGAAGAGCCATGTAATCCTGGAATGACTGAAGCAACTGCAAAACGGCCCAGTGCCACGGGAACATGGACCACCTGGAAGCATTCAGTTCTGGGCGACTCAAAGCCCTGACTTGACTTTGGATCTCTATAAACAGTATCACAGGCACAAACTGTGTAACCTAGCAAGTTTCAGAAATGTTTGCAATCAGCTCTCAAAACGGACTCATTCATAACTGAAACACTGCAGAGCAGAAGACAGCACTACCGCTGGGGGAATGCTGAGTTAGAGAAGAGCAAATCTTTTGCTGGCGAATCCCCTTTGCACCAGGAGAGGCTCTGCCAGTAGGAGCAGAAAGCTGATAAAATACTCCATGTACTAACAAGTTCACTGTAAGGCTTGGATAAAATTCGCTTTTCTTTCAACTTGCGGTGACCTTTTCTGGTAAACTGGGGAAGGTTCGGAGCAGAGTTACAGGAGGGATTAGAGGACTGCAAAAACTTGGATAACACTGAAAATGCCAGCAACTGTCTGTGTCAAACAGCAGGCTAAGAGAGGGCCTGATCACTGTGTGGAAAACGGTTTTGAAAATGCGCTCATCATTGTGGCATTTAAAGGTATAAACAAACTGACTGGAAGTTGATGCTGAACAAAATCAGACTAAAAATAAAGGACATTCTCAAGAGCCAGGGTAATTAACCTTTAGGACAGTTTACTGATGGTTGTGCTGTTTTTCCATTCCTGGAAACATTAACAAATTGGATGGAAGTTTTCCTAAATCATTTCCTAAATGTACATTTAGGAAAGAGAAAACAGAACAGGATGCTGCTCAAAAAAGCTAAAAAGCACTTTGACCCATTTCACTCTCCTCCCAGCTTACCTGCGTGACTAAGGAGCCCCTCGAGAGCCAAGGGCATAATCCTGTCAGTTGGCCAGAGGACCAAACATGGATATAATTTCTGAAGTTTCCTCCCAGGTACGTCAGGAAGGAATATTTCCAACTGGTATTTGCTGCACCATTTTGTTCCAAACTCTGGCCTAGCTGTCAGAGCCACTTTTTGCTTTTTCTGTCCTTTCCACATCTGCTTTTCTCTTCCTGATATTCTGTGTCCCCTTCACTCCTGCTTTCTCGCGCTGGCCCCACGCCGCTGCTCTTTTTTCTTGCCCTCCTTCACCTGAAGGGCTCATCCCTTCTCCCAGCTCCACGGGACCGATACGCAGCGATAACGCAGCAGGACGGCGGCTGCGGGGGAACCGCGGGGGCCCAGCTCACCGCGAGCTGCCTCTCCCGCCGGCAGGGCTGGGAACACACCGAGCTAAGGAGGAGAGGGCATCTTGCAGATTCACAACCCCCAGCTCCTCCTCTCTGCCCCAGAAGCACAACAGAAAAGCTTGGTCCCTACCTACAGCTATCATGGAACAGCACACTCTGTCATACGTGACACTTGGGCCAGGAGATGCTGCACATCAGGGCCTGATCTTAGCCCCAAGTTTACCACGTAGCCTTGAGCCCTTCCCCTTTCTGCTTCCATTTCCTCTGTTACAGAACTACAGCAATGATATATATTCAGCTCCTACACAGGAGCATTTTCGGGATCAATTACTTAGCGTTCATGCAAAGCTCTGTGGACAGCAGCCTCAATACAAGTGGTAAGTACTATTATTATTACTCTGCTTTAGATGGTTACAGCATTGGCATTTTCCAGGCATGCACCATTAACAATTTACCAAGATAAATGGCCCAGGAACCCGAAAATACATTTACGACAACTACCTGCTGCTTACCAGCATTCATTCAGCCAAATAAACGACCCTTCATTTTTCAGTGCATAGCTACAGTAACGCTTCTATCTCATATATTCAAGTGTGCACACAAGCACATGCCCACACACAGAGGTGGAGGGAAGCCAGACTACCTCATTTAATGACATACGAGCCAAACAACATTCCCAGCCTCCAAAACCTGCGCTGGGAGCAAGGGAGTGAGGAGCACGCAAGTCGCCGTGTGCCGTGCCAGGAGGAGCTGCATAAATCACAGGCTGGAAAGCGCAGCCGGAGCACGACCAGGCCTTCAGAGAACTTACTTGAGAGCAGTTTTGTAGTGGTAGATCGCTTCAATGTTACGTCCCTGGTCCTTCAGAAAATTGGCATAGTTGTAGTGCACCTTGGCGTTATGGGGTAGAGTCTTCACTCCTGAGCTGAAAATGGGAACAGAAGCAGGAATAGGTCAGCCAGGCAGGTTACCCCCTCTTCCCTGAGATCTTTCTTCTTCTGGTCATTGGATCTCTCCAAAGAAAAATTTGCTGCTCATTAGGTGTCGTTCACTCATGCTAACAGAACTAATGTTACAAAGCCCAGCTTGCCCCACGCGTGCCAGCTGTGCAATGCACTGGCTATCCTTGTGCTCCCAGCGGGACACAAACACGGGGCGGCAGCTCACCTCCGCTCTCACCACCACAGACCCTCTGCTCCCCTCCTGTTGACCAATGTGACCAAAGTCTGGATGATTAAACTGCAAGGCCCTAAAAAGCCTCCTACCTAGAGGGCAAGCATGTACAGCTTTCAAAAATGTAGTCATAGCAAGCTCCCTTATCTCTGCCTCTGCTGGAACTGGAGCATCATGAAGTTCTTCTGGAAAATCTTAGGGAGAAGGTATCTTTTCCATGTGTGTCAGGCACTAGAGGGGATGCACAGCTTACTCTGACCCCTGAGTGAGTGCTTCTGCCCTGCACTGAGCAGAGTACACCCAGGAGGTTCTTCAGGGTCTCTGGTCCCAGTTTACCCTAAGTTACAAGTCATATGCTCTCACATTACAAAATATGACTGTGGCCATGTTGCTATACGACCACTCCATCCCTCTTCTTGCCCTTCTAGCCATGTAGACTGAGCTGGATATTTGAAATTAATGAGGGCATAAAATAATTTTAAAAAAAAAAGGAAGAAGAAGAACTAGCAAATGCTTGATAACTTAATTGAGAGCACAGAAAGCAGGCTATGCCTTGCAAAGCTAGAGAAAATTCTGTTCTGCAGCTAGAGACAGACAAAAAATCTCAGGAGCACATACACCATGGAAACATTTCCTCTGCAAGAACCCCAGGAGGCTGCTGCTCCATTTAACGGGGGAATACTTTCCAGCATATAAACAGGGGCTCTCCAGGGTAATAGGAAATATGTCTGCATGAGCTTGTTCCTGCAAATCCAGAGGAAGCCCCATGGCTTGTTCCCAGGGCACGGGCAGGTTCCTGCTAGCGGCTGCCTTCTTTCCTCCAAGCCCGTTGTCTCAGCTAGGAACTGCAGGCACCAGGAAATTCTCCTGTTTTTTGCCTTGCCTTGTTGACCTCTGCTACTAAGCTTTGGTGGGCAATGAAGAAGGTAACCGAGAAGGGTCACCCAGAGCCTTTGTGGAGCAACGTGGACCGCAAAGGGGCTGGCAAGGGAGAGGAGCATGGCCACGGCTGCTGAAAACCTTTTTCAGGGATTTCATTGGAAAAAAAGAAAGGAGGGGGTGTGGAGAGAGCCTGAGCAGCACCATGGCATCTGCCTGGTTATGTGCAGCCAGCAGGATCAAGCGTCGCTCACGGCTGCTTGCAGGAGGATGCCCACGGCCACCGCCGGCCCACGCAGGTTAGGAATATACCTTGCACTTGGCCTCCTAATCACCAGGTATTTCTAAGTTGCTTACTGGGAGCACTGCAGGAACAAGACATTTTGTGACTAATCGCTGAATTAAATCACTTAATTGATGCTATTCTTAAGAGAATGATTTTCTATATTAGTTTTCACAAAGATATACGGCACCAGCAGCAAGTAATGTGTGACTGCTACGGCTGTGTTAATTTCCACTGGCCTTGGGAGCTATTAACTACACACTTGCAAGCTCTGGGCATTACTGGAATATTAATTCTTGTACAGAAAGGCTTTCATTACAGCAGCGTGTTACAGGCACAGACACAGCCTCAGAGCTGCTGCTCTCTGAGCCATGTGCAACGAGCTGTCAGCTCTGTCGTAGCCCCTGCTGAAACAGAGCAAACGGAGTTAATGGTGAGCAGCACTACACACGCACAAGCATGACAATCCCAATGAGACGCAGCGTTAACAGGAAGACGCATATTTTTAAATATTTTAATTTTTGACAGTACCCCTTTAAGTAGAACGTTATTAATCCCGCCAGTCCCGTTTATTAAAAATGTGCTAATAAAGATTCTTCTTTCATTCTGTGTGCTTTTGTGGCAGTGGACAGCGGCATTGGAAAGACAGAAATTGCTTCAGTTTGGGGCTTTTACATGCTCTCTCTCCTGCTCCACTCCAGTCACATTCCCTGACCTATTTATTCTTCTCATGGGGGATTTGTGTCCGACTTTGCAAATACACACATTAATGCCTGATGTAAACTGCTTGGAGTATCTGCACTAGCAGCTGTAATAGCACACACAGCACTGGATTTTTAGGAGGGTTTAGGTAAACACTTCAGCTAATTGATTCTTGACCAGCTGAGCACACTGCTAGCTCGGGGCAAGCAAAAATATCCATAAGGAAAGCCAAGCGGGAAAGGGTGGAGCGCCAATAACAATGCAGAACACAATGGCTTTCCATTCCTGCGTCCCGGACGCCCCCAG